TAGAGCTCCGTAAGAAAGTTAGCCTTTTTTCAATGTACTAGGGAAATACTGTTTGCGAATAACTTCCTATGCTTTTCGAAAGTCGTAGCATAATGCAGATAGTTTAGTTATTTCCTTTAAATTACAGCTTTTCTCATCAACCCTACGAAAGCAGAAAGATTTGTCTGCTGTGGAGATTTGAGCTAAAGCACAATTAATGAATGATATTGTGTTGTCATACTTTCTTAAGCCGAGTTAACCTATGCTACTTGTGGTAAAGGAGGTGTTGCCACTTTAGCGGAGATAGTATTACAAACCTCTAAGCCCAATGGTCTGCTCTTGTTTGTTGCTATGTAAGAGCGGCAGAAGCTAAAGTGGAAGTCAGAGCCATTTTGGTTACAAAAGCCACAAAAATTGCTGCTACGAGGCACTGACGTTAAAACCTGCTAAATGTAGCCGGACGGCTGCTAATTAGTCCCCAGTCAACGCTTCAATGGGCAAGTCACAGGGAGCAGCGACGCTTTCCCAAGCCATACTTGGTTTTACTCGAACCCAAGTCTTTTGACAAACACCCACTGCTAATGCTGACGGCTAGAAAGGGAGGGAACGAAGTAGACATTTATGGATGCGAAGACCTCTGGTTAACATAAAACAATGAAGCAGCTAATCTAGCCAAAATTTTGGTGGAAACAAACTAGAATAAACCTAAGTTGTTATTCAACTTTATCTGAGCCCCAAATCTTCTGCCCGTCCTCTATTAAAACTTGCCCTCCTGATGCCTACTTAAGGTCTCAGACTGAACGCAATTTGAGATGGGGCAGGATGATACTTATTGCCTCTTAATCTGAAGGTGTCTGTAGCATTTTAATCATTTGGCAATTTTCAAGAAACTGAATCACTGAGTTCCACCCTTTGGCCCTATATATGGGGTCTAAAAAGAGGTTAAATAAGTATTTATATATTAAAGATCATGAGAATTTCAAACAGTCCTCTTAATCCCATCCTTCAGCTTCCACTATCCTTTACAACTTTCCCTCAGTTGAATTTCTTCGGATGATTCTGCCTCCATTACACGCATTTCTCCCGTTTATTTTAACCTCGAGTTGAGCTGACGTGGAAGTCAGTGTGTGCCTCCAGGGCAAGGAGTGATGAGCATGCAGAGTGGCGATGACGAAGAGAGGAAAAAGGATGTCAGGAAATATTGCATAGTTGACATCGCAGACCTGAAGCTGGGCGATGATAGGGTCGGTGGTTCATCATTTCACGTGTCATTAAATCCAACAATGAGTTGAGTTAGTTTAGAGATGTCGCACTACGTTTGGATAGATTATGAATTCATGCATTTAAAAACATGTCTATGCACAGGAAATTTACAGCCCCCAGAGTTACCATTTCACTTTAAGCATGAGAAAGGAGGCCTCAAAGTGCTGTCCAGCTCAAGGGTGGCCATCATTTGGTTGTATTACGAAGTCATGTTACTTAGCATTTTCAAGTTTCGAGGGAGAGTAAAATCTATGCATTTTCACAATTGTCACTCAGGCGTACAATTAGAGCGAAAACTCCTTTTGAAAGGGACATCACCATTTACAGATTTTTATAGGACTCATGGGAAATACTGCAAACTTTGCTTTCTGATCAGCGAAAAGTAGTACTCAAAGCTTAATAATAACTACTTTGTCAATAGGTGACAAGTGATGGCGTAATAATCAATGCTGCCCTGATAAGATCACCCTTTTGGAGGAAGGAAATGTTGCCTCTTAAAATAGAATAACTGGTAGCTTCTTATCAGCTGTTGGTAGTTTTAAACGACGTTGAAAACCAAAATAAGCTTATTTTGCTCGAAGGAGCTGAGCATTGAAAAATGCATAAATAATTTCTGCTGATTCACAGCATCGAACTGAAAAGTTTCTACGATGCAAAAAAATAATCTTTTGTATAAGTCCGCAAGCCGTCCTTTGTTCTTTGAGGCAAGGACTGGCAAGGAGCTGCATTCAAAAGTACTGCATTCGCGGAAAAATAAAGAGGTATTGTGAAACTGTAGACTTAACCTCATCAAGGGTTGTGGAGAGGGGACTTTACGCCCTCGATCCACACAATTGCACCACTGATCCTTAAGGCAAAGTAATGATGACAGATGCGTGATTTACTAACTTGGTGAGAAAATAGTTCAAAATTTAGTCCTTTAAATTAGTTCAAGAGATTGAAATTAAGCAGTACTTTGATTTCTTTTGTGATATTTTTCGAATGATAAATATACCCGACTTCAGAGTAAAAATAGTTTTACAGTAAGACACTTCCCTGCCCAATTCGACCTTTCTTTTGTCACGCAATCCTCCCGAGTCTTTCGAGGGCGGAGTTTTGGCCCTGTTTTAACCTAACACAAGGAGCAGGAGGAAAGAAGGCATTCCCTTGAGGATATTATTATTTGATCAAGTAAAGGTAAGTTACTAGAATGGCAAATCAAGACATTGAGTGCCATCACATCACGCAAATGTTGCAAAGCAGTTCATTCCACCCTTTTGCAGGCGGGCAAGCCAAAATGGCCGCAGTTGGGGGACTTATTCGTTCAACAGTAATTGCCCAACTTTGAAAAGTTAAATCTTCATGCAACAAATTAACACCAATATTATTCATTGGTAAGAAAAGTAGTGAAGTCGCTTAATTTTTGAAGTGTGTTTTACTATTGAAGGCGTCACTTAAGTAGTGCGCCCTTTGAGACCAAAATTACCTTTGGTAAGTAGTACAGTTTTTGCAATATTTCGTGTCTTAGCAAAAAAGGAAATCGGATTTTAGTACATAGGATAGATGTGAGGCATTGAAAATTAAATCAAATATTTCCGTATTCGCAGTGTTGTTTGGGACGTTTTCTATCATTTGGCCCAGTGGGACCCTCACGAATCGTTTATCATTCCATCGCTGTTCATTGCCACTTGGTAAATATGAATCCAAATGTCGCTTAAGTGGCACTTACCCTTCTAGTTCGTCGACATTGTTTAGTAAATCGCGATTGGACTTGATGTATTCTCGCAGGTTAAGCAAATTCTCATATGATTAGCTTCCTTTTTTTCTCACTTTAAGGCTTTTTTCAGTTTTGTTAAACTACTACTTTAATGAAGACGTCGTAAAACAAAATAGGAGAAAAATACTTGTGGATGTAACTTCAAGGTTGCTATTTGTCAAATGTCTTGGAATCCAAGTGTTTTTGACATTTCACACCTTAAGATGCATAGATCAGACTTGGCCTAAGCTCTGACTTGTACTATGAGTTTAAATAAAGACCTACAGTTCGCAAAGTCGTTCACGCAGAGTACGTAACACCTTCACGAAAAATATCTCACCATTAGCCAGTGCTGCTGACCTTTCGTAAACTGGTTGAGGTCATTTCAATAAATTCAATTTTAGCTTCCTTCTCGCCTTTTCTTCAGTGCACGCACGCTCCAACTTTACGCGCGTTCAGGTTAGGCGAGTTGTGACTTCAAGATTTAAGCAGACTAAGCAGAACTTTTTTGCGTCTATGACAGCACCTCGAGATTATCGCTAGAAATCGGAATGCAAAATTTTATTTATTGAAGATGAGGTGCTGGCAGGTACTTTATTCTGTTAACTTCATACAAAAGCGTCGCAGTTGCCTCAATTTCAGCCATACATAAACGAAGGTACTACGCCTACAATTTTGAGCTGACATTAAGCAATGTAGCTTGAAGAATAGTCATCCAGCGTCCACTTCGGAATCAAAAACGTTTTTACCACCAAGCGCATTTGATTGACCATTCCACTTGCCTGCCAATGACTGCTGTGCTTGAAGCTGTTAAAGCCGGAGACGATTTATTGGCAATTTTGTAAAAAAATAGGAAATTATGCTACTCACCAAATTTTTTAAGTAGAGTCTGGTGTTGACACTCTCGAACTGAGAAATATTTAGACTTCCTACTATTGAAAAGATATCAGCTTTGTTGGTGTACAGACAGTAACGTTTGAAGGACTGACTCAAGAGGAAAAAACCGAAGTGTGCTTCCTCTCAGTTTGTAACCACCAAGTTTGCGGCTATGGGAAGGCAAAACGTTCTCCTCTAATCTTAACTACGCCATGTTTTGTATGCTTCTACTTTCAACTTTGATGGCTCTTTATTTTCTTAAAAATGACACTTTGCATTCACGTACTTGTACAAATTTTTCCATCACCTTTGTTGGAAAAAGGATTCTGGTAGCCGAAAAATGCTATAAGAGAGGAAGTCTATTGTAAATTTCCTTCTATTCGTTAGTAGACGCGAGATTTGCGAGGTAATGGAAGAAAGTGTTCAAACTCAGTCGTTCCCGTGAAAACCAAAGGAAAATAATTGCCAACAACAGAATAAACCCTTTTTTTGGAGCAGAAGCGCGAAACAAATCACAGCATTTAGCTGGATTTTTTCACCTAACCTCAGTTAAGTCTGTGTGTGTGTGTGTATTTAGTTGGAAGTTGGCGCGTGAGCCTAATATCTTAGTCTGCAAATTTTTTTTGTCACGTATGGTGGGTAAAGCAGTTTCAATTTCCCTTGGGATTGCGGTAGGCTTTAGAAAGGAAGACTTGATGTAATTGCCTTGCTTTCTACACCCGATTACCCATTCATGGAAGCAAAAGGAAACAATTCACCCCCCTCTTTATTGCTCCGCTCCTATCCAAGAAGCACTTTTGCCCAACAATTTAGGATCTACTTTGCTGAATTTCATTTCATTGCCTCTTCTTTTTATCCTTCAACGGAGTGAGCTGAGCTGAATCTCCATCATGCTAAAAATGGTGACTTTTTTGCTTCTCAAGAGTTATCAAGCTTCATCACCTAAAAATACATTTTAAATCCTTCAACAGTAATGAAGTTGACCGTCTTAAATTAGAATACTAAACCCTTTAAAAGTAAATGTTCTCCACTCTTTTCTTATTGTTTTAGTTACTCCCTGCAATGCGTCCTCCCAATAAACAATTTTGTAGAGAAGATCTATATATTTCTTTGGTTTTGGTTCGTCATCCTCTGCTCTCTGACGATAATGAATACCATCCAGTGGACCATCAACACCATGCTTCCCGTACGACGCGTTTATTACATAAAGCAGTACCTGAAGGCACTTCGACTTATCTCTAGCACGGAGGAGAGAGATTGTACTCGTTTTGTCAATCAAAACCTCGGTGCAGATGGCATTTTCATCCTCCACATCGTTTCCAAGATCGCCAGTGATCTGATAGCTTTGGATGTCACTGCTACTCTATGGAAGAACTATCGACAAGCCAAGATTACTGGAACAGAAGAGGATGTCAACAGACTGCTAGAGACAGTTAATCGGGGCTCAAGCGCTGTATAGAGTTCACTTGAGTCCCTACTGATTTTCTTGGTCCTCACCCCATTTCTCCTCTCACCCTCCTCGCAATGCATTGCCTATCCCCATAGAAATCCGTGAGTGACTAGTTAGGTATATTTTTGAAATCCCTACCCTTTAGACTTCGCCGATAAGAAAGATAATCCCCGTTGTGTATGCACTCCGTGGGACCACGATGAACTTGTCTTCTCTTCTATCTTTTCTCTCCGATTATTCCTATGTCACATCTTCATTTCCCATCATCAGATTTGTACATTTAAGCGCCGTCTGTTGCCGTCGCTTGTAGCCGCTACACGAGGTCTTGTATACAAGCCTGTACGCATACACGGAAAAGGTCATTGCTCGCAGCCGTGTTCCTAAAACCCACCCCACTTTGCATGAGATTGCCGCTCACTTTTCGTACTTCCCTCTTCTCTGCTCAAATCTTCCTTATTCTTTTTTCTCCTCCACTTTTCTTTTTCTTCTTCGCCTTCTTTCTCGATACCTCCGACGCATTGCACGAGCATGCGAATGGGCCAGGTTTTAGCGAATGCAACCTCACCGAACACACA